ATAAATACCTGATAATATCTGTCACTCCCTTAACAATATTAGTAGTGTTTTGTAGAGATGAGGGCAATAGAAATGTTAGATATTTCAATAGAAATCGTGCTAAAATGGGATAAAAGGCAATGAACCCGGTTATGTTAATACTCGGGTCCATTTTCAGGAACTCATCGATCGCTTTCTTTTTACTGTCCGTATAATCAAAACGTCGCCCGAAATTAAGGGAATTTACATTATTTGAGACACTAATCGGGAATATAGTCCTGAACTCAATTTCCTGTCCATCTTTCGCGTCCAACACTTGACACATATGATTGATCTCATCGATGATGTGGTCCTCCATCGATGTCTTACCAAAACCAAGATTTTTTAATTGATGGAAAGTAAACCGTTTTTGTACTTTCCAGTCGTCGCCACTAATTGCTGCAAACCCTGCAAAAAAGTGGTCAATTGTATTGAATAAGTGATATTTAGTTTAAAATTGTTATTAACAAATAACACCCGCAGGAAATGCAGTGTTAAAGAAGTTGTGTTTAGGCCGATGTAGAGCCGAATTGTGAGAAAGTGCCGCTTTTATTGACGGCCAGTCGTTGAGAACCACCACTGGTTGCGAACCCATTTGCAAACTTTCAATATAAAAATTTAATTAATTAATTTATTTGTAGTAAAAACAAATTTATAAAAACAAACCCAAAAACTGGTCCGTATTTTTTGGCCAATTGTACGAACACTCTGGAGGGCTCGCCCTTAAGGAATGGCATATAACCGATAAATGGTAGTCCAATAGGACCCGGGGGTAACGCATTTCTCATACGATATTCATTATATAATTGTTTTGATAAAATATATATGAATAAAGTTACCAACAAAATTAATTTATTTGAATAAATCCAAAAAATCACTTGTAATAAAAACATACTGAAAATATTAACAAAATAACTTCATATACTTAGTGAATGCAATTTATAACAAATTTTAAAATATAAATATACCTATATAAAAATATATTTATACAAAGGTATATAAAAAGCACCAAGTGTTTACAATGTTTATACAGTATATTTATTGATAAAATTATTTATACCGTGCACTTTATACACGAAATTATGTTAATACGTTTACTGTTAATATTTACTTATCTTAAATAAGATACCTTCAAATTTTGAATAAAATTTTGAGTTAAAATATAACCACTATTTCAAAAATAGTAATGTTTATTTTGAAAATGTCAAATGTAAATTACATTAAATTTAGATAAAATGATTGTTAATTGCATGTATAAATGTGGTAAAATTTGTGATCAATATTACACAATACAGAAAGATGAAAATCACTTACAAAGTACCTTGAAGATAGGAAGTCATAAATAGGGGAAACACTTAAAAGGGATACTACTTTGCCATTGAGTTATAATTAGTTATCTTATAATTAGATATAAGTTTTCATATGAAAATCTTTGACATTCAAAATGTTTTAATTCTCATACAATTTATGCGAATATTGATTAGATTTTGTTAATGAAATTCATTATGAATTGAATTATTTAAAAAATATTATTATTATCTGATATTATGTGAATAAATAACATATATTATTTACACAAAAAAATAATTGTTTGATAAACAACTACACTAATGCCCCAAAATTCAATATCACTAAAAACTTATGCAAAAATAAATATAACAGAGACTACAGAACTGTAGTATTTTATTCCTCGATCACTTTCATGAACAGCAAAATACAAAACGCTATTATCTGTTGATAAGTATATAAAAATCACAATTAATTAATATAGGTTTAAACAATTGGCATAACAATGAATACCTCGTATCCGCGAAAGGAGTTTATGATGAATAGGTGCCAACAGGTGAACCCCACTTTCCTTTTGCCGATTCTCTCCATTATAATCAATAACTATAAAGCAATTAAAAATAAATAAATTTACAATTAAATAAAAACTAATAGAAAAATAATAACTATAAGCAAAATAAAGACAACTAGATCAAAACATATTTAAACTTAATTAAGCATGTAACAATTGAAATGAAAAACTAATCCAAATTAAAACAAACCAACCTTAATAGCTTTACATGGATTCTTCTGATCCCATCTACACATCAAAGTGTTCAACAGTTTGTACGACTTGTTTGCCTCCAAATAAACTGTGGAACAGATTCTGATCACAAGAAGCAGCAGAAGAACAAAGAATAAGTCGAAATACAAGCATAAAAAGCGTAAGACTAGTGACATATCGCCAAAGATAATGAAGAAGGACAGAGTGGACAGTATAACAGCGCAAGTGGTCCACACAAACAGGCAATAATAGCACCAATAGGTGTTGTATTCGCCGATTTCGCCGTATATTCTGGTCAACGACTCGTTCACGTGATAGAAACTGATGGGCCATTTGCCGTAACGGCGGGCCTCCAGTCGACCGTTCATCTCTTTCAGCTTTGACTTCAGGTAAAATGCGATCAAATAAAAGTAAATCAATTGCCAAAAGATGATGCTATAGATGTAGTTAACGATGAGACCCCAGCCAAACGAGTGCGGTATGACATACATCACCATCTGATTCAGTGTCGAGTGGTTCAAAAACAGGAAAAAGTTCAAACAGAATATGGTAAAACTCAACGAGTTGGGCACATTGTTGCCGATGAGAAAAGCGATCCTGGTCCTTCGCAACAGCCGGCCGATAATGACCGGATCTCTGAGGCCCATGGATTGGGGCGATCGGACGCCGGCCATCATATCAAACACCCGCATGAATGTGGGCTCAACTCCGCGCCAATAGGCGTAGAAGTTGTAGATTTGCGAGAAAAATGACAACAATATAGTGAACATCACAACGATATTGTAGTTGTCTTTATCGCCAAACATATACCCAAAATCACCCAATTTTTGGTAGAAATACAAGTCGTGTTTGGGCTCCAGGTATACAAATAGCGAGCGTAGGATATAGTAGAGGGATGTCGTGAATATGATGGCCGGGTGCCGGAATCGGCTGCGCCTTACCCGACTCACCGGGTATAGGGAGGGCCCAAACTTGTAGAGGTGAATGCCCGCCTCTACAATACGCGTTTCCTCGTCCAACGGCTGTGTCGGGTCAAATTTGGGACCGGAATCGGTCATGGTTAGTTTGTTTTGTAGTAATAACTGTGTAAATTATATCATGTATTTAGCGTTAACTCACAGAATAATGCCCAAGTATTGGTTACATGCAAATGTTTTTTGAATTAGAATAATAAGTAATTTGATATTTACATTAATTATACATTTTATTTGTATTTATTTATCATTTACATTTTATTAGTGTTTTTATTGTGAATTAAGACATAAAATATAATTTGAAATCTATTTAAATTAGTATTAATTACAGTATATTATGGATATTGCATAAGATTATTTAAAATTCAGGTAGATTTTATTTACACATTATATGTTAATTAGTATCAAAAATAATTTAGATTAATAAAATATTCAAAATATACCTATTTGCCGGTAATAAATAAATATTACACACATATTGGCAAATAAATAAGTGCAAATACAGTATGTAAATTCAAATAATTATCAGTAATATTTAAAATAGTTATTTATTAATTACACATAATACATTATAAATATTGCTAAATTAAATATGCAGTAAACAGTATTTTTCAAAATAAACTATTAACTGCTTGCATTAACATTTTTAAATGTAACTTTATATTAGAGATAGATCAATTATTATTCATTAATACCAGTATTAGTTAGAAAGTTAGGGCTAAATCTAAACCATCCGTTAACTCGCATTTCACACGTGGACTGACAGTTAGGACCACTCACTTTGTTAACCGCAAAATTTACAGTCATATCCCTTACGCCACTACCAAAGCACCCGTCCGGTTGATTAGGCACACCATATGCTGCTTGATATAATAAATCACCGGCGCATGGACCCGAAGATATTTTACCCTGGATTATTTCCAATAAGTCACCTAGATCGTAATAAAAGTGTGTGGTTTATTAAATTACATAATAAACCTATTAGACCCGTAGTACAATGCATGATAATAATGTAATTAATACATTAATTAAACAATTTTTTAATTTACCATTCACAGATTTTCTAATAACAGTAGAATTATTGACTGGTAAATGTACAGTATTTCCCCGATGATCGACACCAACATATCCGGGAAACGGTTCCCTAAACACGTGATACCCGTTGCACGAGAGGTACTCGGGAGCGGTTCCGTTCAATATCATCATGGTAAAATAAGAGTCATTAGTGCATACCGTTGATTGGTATATGGTGCCATTTGTAAGTATATATGGTGTACCTACAGATAAATTGTTTTATAAAAACATTGTTCTTATGTCATATAAATTAAATATTCTTTTTAAATGTAATATAATAAAAATTTATTTAACCAATCGTAACTATATCTACAACTCCAGGTATGGGAGTAATGTAAGTACACTCAACAGTATTATAATAATTGCTTATTAATTGAGTTAAGCAAATATATATAACAAACACAGCAATCATTTTTATTTTTATTTCATATGAATTAAAAATCAATTGATTTTTGTTTTTGCTTTGAGGACTGCGCAAAAGGTGTGCTCCCATAGTAGACAATACACTATATTTTAACCCTCATTTGCCCGCATTTACCCGATTTGAGTTTAGTTACTGTTGTTATTAGGCTACTCACCTTTGCCAAATTTATCAAATTAATGCATTTCGATGCAAATTAATACACAATTTATAGTAATGACGACAATAGAATTTAATATAAAAATTAATAAAACAAATACTTTGGAAAAGTATATCAGTAATAATAAAAATAATTATTTATTAATTATTCATATTACATTATAATCATCGCCAAATTAAATAATCATTAAATTTTTAATATAAACTATTTAATACTTACATTATCATGATTTAATGCATTATTCAGAAAAATTACTATTAATTATTTACAGTATTAGTAAGAAAGTTAGGGGTGAATTGAACTTTGCCATTTACACGTAGATCGCATGTGGACTGACATCGGGGGCCAATCACCTTTAAATTGGCAGAATTAGCGATCCAACCCCTGACACCACTACCAGAGCAGCCATTTGGTGGATAAGGCTTAGCGGTTGCAACTTGTTGAAATGAATCACCCGCGCATGGACCCGATGTGATTTTACCCACTTTTATTTCAAATAAGGCACCTAGGTAACAATAAAATTATGTAAAGTTTTTTAAATTAGTCTATTAAATTGTCCAATGAATTTATTAGATTTGTATTATGTTTGGCTTAGGTGTTAATAATATTAATATTTAGATTAATATAATAATCAATTAAAAAAAATATTAAGTTACCATTCACAGAATTTCTATAAAGAGTAGCATTATTCATAGGCATAACCACATTATTTCCCTGATGGTCGATCCCGACATATCCCGGGAACACTACACTAAACACATGATATCCGTTGCACGTGAGGTAATCTGGAAAAGTTGCATTCAAATAGATATTGATAAAATAGGAACCACCCGTGCATACCGTTGTCAGATATATGACCGTATTTGTCTGTATATATGGTGTAATACCTATCAATAATTTGTTTTATAAAAACACATTGTTATTATGTTCAGAGAAACAGTAGACTTTATAATTCACACAAATTTCGTATATATAAACTTATAAATTAATGCTAAAAAGCCGCTATCTACGCTAGATAGCTTGTTTTTACAACTAATTTGTAAGTTTATATATACGAAATTTGTGTGAATTATAAGGTCTACTGTTTCTCTGATTAAGTTAAATAATTTAAATATACAATATAATATAATAAAATATATTTTTAACCAATAATGACTATATCCGTAAATCCAGGTATGGGAGTAGCATAGGTAGCACACTGAACAGTATTAGAATAATTGCCTATTAATTGAGCTAGGCAAATATATATAACAATCACAGCAATCATTTTTATTTATTATTTATAATGATATAATTTGTAAAAACAATTTGATTTTCTTAATAATCAACTCAACTCAACCTTATACTTGTTAGCACATTAGTAATTACCACTTGTAATAAACATGTATACAATTAATAAATTACACTTCAATTAATGTACCAGATGATAAATATTAAGTTACTATGACTTAATGACTTAAAAGGTAACTAAATACTAACTAAATAATTTCTTAATAAATTTTTAAAATAAATATTTTAAAACTTTATTACAATTACACCATGACATAAATGATGCGACAATATATAATAATGCTATTCAAATATAGTTCCGCTATTAGTGATGTAGGGAGGCGTCAATATGAATGATCCGTTAACACGTAACTGGCATATGGATTGACATCGGTGACCAATCACCTTAATTATGGCATGATTTATAATCG